ATTCAGAAGAAAAGGCTTTATTATTATCCATCAAAGATTGTACAATAAAACAAACTGTAAAAGAAAAGTCTATCCAGTCAAACTGCCTGGATAATGAGCAAAGGAAAACAGAAAATATAGGCAAGTATAAACAAAAATACTGACTTAGAAAACATAAAACCAGATGTATACAGTGAAGAGTTCAGTGGGCTCGTGGTTGTCCTTCTCATGTTTTGATGAACACCCAAGCTGATTTTTCAGCCAGTGTGAAACAGCACAGACTACCGATTGCTCATTGCCAGCATCTGCTCTGACTGCTGTCCGTGCTGTGGTGGTTATTCGAATACTATGAGTATCGCTTATGGGAATACCCAAATACTAATGAGGCTTAATGTGAGACACTTATTGTTCACATTAAGGGAAACTAATTGTCAAAATAAGTGAAGCAAATTCAATTGAATTAGAAATATTTAAACTCATTTCCTTCACCTGACCACAACCCACATATCTTCAGGAAGCTGAAGGGCAGGGGTTTAATCTTTAATTTAAATGAATTACTTTAAAAGACTTCCTGCTTGTCTGTCTGCTGTTTCTCTCCTTCCTTACCTCTTTTCCTCCCTCTTTGTTTTCCTTCCTTCCTTTCTTTCTGTGAATCTCATGATAGGCACTTGTTTGGAAAATATATTACCTGTTTGGAATATGAAGTTGATATTCCTTACATTTTTTGGTTCACACATGCTGAACATTAAGATATTGTGAATGACCTTTAAATATTATTGAGGTTGCTAAAATTTATGGGAAGAATAAATGTATCAGGATAATGCTGTTTAACATATGCTAACAAAAAATACTTAAAGGCAAAGACCGGAGAATGTTGATTTTGGTAAGTAGGGAAGATAGAATTGAGAAATAATACAGTGATAGACTGGTGTTTGCATTAATAAGAATGGTTGCATAAAGGTTTTGTTTTGTTTTGTTTTGTTTCCTGATTCAGGCTTGGCCAAAGCTAATACCAGGCTCCCATGCTGAAAGCAATTGAGCATCACATTATTTATAAACAACGTTTATTCTGCAACCCAATCAGTCTCTACTTCCTCTGAGTTAAACAAGGGGGTCAGAACCACTCTATAAACATCTAATATGGCTAATCGGGAAAGATGGAAAAACAAAAGTACAAACATTAGGAACAAACAGGAGCTATTCCTGCAGTTATGGAAGACAGCACAGCATAGTAATTATGAGAAAAGACAAAGTGAGACACTGTACTCATGAATTTGAAAACCTCCATAAAGTGGATCATTTGCTAGGAAAACATAGAGAATGGAATTATCCCCATAAAAGAGAAAAACCAGTAATGTTAAAACCTGGGGGAAAAGTTGAAGAATGATTCTCTAATACAAATACTCTCATCCATGCTAATTTATGATTCAGATCTTCCAAACTCTCACTAAATGATAAATTTATTAAAGCTGAATCCAGGCCTTTAAATATACATTTTAATATATATCATATGCTTTGCTCATTCCTTATTAATAGATTTTTTATGAGTGTTAATAGGGTTTCTTTTCCCACTGCTCTTACAAATTGGCTGTTGTTTTCTCAAAAGCTATATGTTAACTGGTCACATTAATGAACTCTTTTATTAATTTTTATATAAGAACATGGTTAGCTGCAAATAAGTGAACACTCAACCAAATCAAGTTAAGCAAAATATCAAATTAATTAGTTCACATAATTAAACACCCCAGGACTAATACTATGTTTTCCAGATGAGGCTTGATTCAGAGTTTAACTAACATTTAAAATCAGGATGTCTCCTGACTGTTTTTTTCCCTTCAATTGGGTTGGCTCCATTTTCAGACAGCATTTTCTCTTCTGGTCACATGAACCTTCACTAGTATGATCCCCAAGATTTTACTCAGCAGCTTGAGCAAGAATTATCCCAGCACTGTCAGCTCAAATCCTGGCTAATCCATTTCAGTCACTTGTCCATCTCTGAAATCACCATGGTCAAGACTATGGATTGCCCGTTTCTAATGTTTGGTGTAATACATAGCTACAGTTCCACCAAAACATTTATGGGCTCCTTCCTAGGAGTAGAAATGATTGCTGGGAAATGACTTTTCAGCCATGCACTACCTTTCTCAGCTCCTCTCTTCACCAAAATTAGGTGAAGTCATGTGACCAGTACTCACTAAACAGAATGTGAGAAAACAGATTGTGAGTACCTGAATATCAATATACTTCTTAAGATTTAATTAATTTTGCATTGAAAAAAGATATAAATAAGCACGGTGTATATCCTAAATATAATGTGCTTATCCTGCTAATGACTGGCTCGAGGTCTATCAATTTTATTAATTTTTTCCAAGAACCAGCTCCTGGTTTCATTGATCTGCTCATTGACTGTTTTGTTGTTGTTGTTTTGTTTTAGTTTCATACATCATTTATTTCTGCTCTAATCTTTATTATTTCCTTCCTTTTGTTAGATTTGGGTTTTATTTGTTCTTGTTTTTCTAAATCCCTTAGGTGCAAGTTAGGTTGTTTAAGATTTTTCTTGCTTCTTAAGGTAAGTCTGTATTTTTATAAACTCTCTTAGAACTACTTTTGACACACCTAAAAATTTTTGGACAGTTGTGTCTTGATTTTCATTTCTTTCCATATAATTTTTAATTTCTTCTTTGATTTTGGCTGACCCATTTATTGTTTAGTAGCATGTTATTTAACCTGCATGTATTTGTGGTCTTTCCAGATTTTTTCCTGTGGTTGATTTCTAGTTTCATAGTGTAGTGGTCAGAAAAGACATATGGCATGACTTTGATTTTCCTGAATTTGTTGAGACTTGTTTTGTGGCCTAATATATCATGTATTCTGGAGAATGTTCCATGTGCATTTGAAAAGAATGTGTATTCTGTTTTGGGATGTTCTGAAAAATTCATCTGGTTCAATGTGTAATTCAAATCCACTGTTTCCTTATTGATTTTTGTTTGGGTGATCAAATACATTTAAAAAAATGATACACTATGATCAAGTGGGATTTATTCCTGGGATGCAATGGTTGGTCAGTGAACATGATACATCACATCGATAAGAGAAAGGATAAGAACCATATGATCATTTCAATAGATGCAGAAAGAGCAATCAACAAAATACAATGTCCATTCATGATAAAATTCCTTCTGCAAAGTAGATCTAGAGGAAACATAAGCAACACAGTAAAGGCCATAAATGAAAAATCCACAGGCAACATCATACTTAATGGTGAAAAACAGCTTTTCCTCTAAGGTGAGGAACAAGACAAGGATGTCCGCTCTCACCACTGTTATTCAACATATTATGGAAGTCTTAGCTACAGAAATAAGACAACATAAGAAATAAAAGACATCCAAATTAACAAGGAAGAAGTAAAACTCTCACTATTTGCAGATGACATGACACTATATGTAAAAAAAAACCCAAAAGACTCCACCAAAAAAAAACTACTAGAACTGATAAATGAATTCAGTAAGATCAAGGATACAAAAATCAATGTATAGAAATCTGATGAATTCCTATACACTCATAATAAGGCAGAAGAAAGTGAAATTAAGAAAATAATCCCATTTACAATTGCACCAAAACCAATAAAATATCTAGGAATAAATCTAACCAAAGAAGTGAGACTGTGGTCTGAAAACAATAAAATGCTGATGAAAGAAATTCAAGACAACACAGAGAATTGGAAAGACATTTTGTGCTCATGAGTTGAAAGAACAAATATTGTTAAAATGTCTGTACTACCCAAAGCAATCTACACATTTAATGCAATCTCTTTCAAAATACCAACAGCATTTTTCACAGAACTAGAACAAACAACCCTAAAATTTGTATGGAACCACAAAAGACCTTGAATAGCCAAAGCAATCTTAAAGAAAAACAAAACTAGAGGTATCACTCCAGATTTCAAGTTATATTACAAAGTGGTAGTAATTTAAACAGAATGGCTCTGGCATAAAAATAGACACATAGATTAATGATATAGAATAGAAAACCCAGAAACAAACCCTAAATTACATGGTCAATTAATCTTCAACAAAGGCGAAATGAATATACAATGGAAAAAAGACAGTCTCTTCAACAAATGGCGTGGAAACTGGACAGCTGCATGCAAAAGAATGAAACTAGACCACTTTCTTTCACCATACCCCAAAATAAAACCCAAATGGATTAAAAACCTAAATGTGAGACTTGAAGTCATAAAAATCCTAGAAGAGAACTTAGGCAGTAATTTCTCTGCCATTGGCCATTGCAATAATTTTCTAGATATGTCTCTTGAGGCAAGGGAAATAAAAGCAAAAATAAACTATTGAGACTTTGTCAAAATAAAAAGTTTCTGCACAGTAAAGGAAATAATCAATAAAACTAAAAGGCAACCGGGGCACCTGTGTGGCTCAGTTAGTTCAGTGTGTTTTTAGCTCAGGTCATGATCTCAGAGTCCTGGGATCCAGCCCCACATCAGACTCCCTGCTCAGCTGGGGGTTTGCTTTTCCCTCTCCCTCTGCCCCTCCTCCCTGCTTGTGTTCTCTCTCTCTCTCTCTCTCAAATAAATAAATAAATAAAATCTAAAAAAAAAAAACTAAAGTAAAAGGCAACCTACTGAATGGGAGACTATATTTGAAAATGACATATCTGATAAAGGGTTAGCATCCAAACTATGTAAAAATAAATATAAGTTAAAACTCAAAAAGCATATAATCCAATTTAAAATGGGCAGAAGACATGAATAGACATTTCTCCAAAGAAGACAAATAGATGGCCAAGATGCTCAACATTACTGATCATCAGGGAAATACAAATCAAAACTACAATGAAATATCACCTCACACGTGTCAGAATGGCTAAAATCAACAATACTAGAAATAATAGGTGCTAGATGTGGAGAAAAGAGAACTCCCTTGCACTGTTGATGGAAATGCAAACTGGTGCAACTACTGTCGAGGACAGTATAGAGGTTCCTTCAAAAATTAAAGATAGAGGCGTGCGCGGACATGGCCTCCAACGACTATACCCAACAAGCAACCCAAAGCTATGGGGCCTACCCCACCCAGCCTGGGCAGGGCTATTCCCAGCAGAGCAATCAGCCCTATGGACAGCAGAGTTACAGTGGTTACGGTCAGTCAGCAGACACTTCGGGCTACGGCCAGAGCAGCTATGGTTCTTCTTATGGACAGACCCAGAACAGCTATGGCACTCAGTCAACTCCCCAGGGATATGGCTCAACTGGTGGCTATGGCAGTGGCCAGAGTTCTCAGTCATCTTATGGGCAACAGTCCTCTTATCCTGGCTATGGCCAGCAGCCAGCTCCTAGCAGCACCTCGGGAAGTTATGGTAGTGGTTCTCAGAGCAGCGGCTACGGGCAGCCCCAGAGTGGGGGCTATGGCCAACAGTCTGGCTATAGTGGACAGCAGCAAGGCTATGGACAGCAGCAAAGCTCCTATAATCCCCCTCAAGGCTATGGACAGCAGAACCAGTACAACAGTAGCAGTGGAGGTGGTGGCGGAGGGGGTGGTGGAGGTAACTATGGCCAAGATCAGTCCTCCATGAGTGGTGGCGGCGGCGGTTATGGCAATCAGGACCAGAGTGGTGGTGGCGGTGGCTACGGGGGAGGCCAGCAAGACCGTGGGGTCCGCGGCCGGGGCGGTGGCGGTGGTTACAACCGCAGCAGTGGTGGCTATGAACCCTTAAAGATAGAACTATCATATCATTCAGTAATCATACTAGCAGGTATTTATCCAAAAAATATAAAAATGCTAATTCAAAAGGATACATGTACCCCTATGTCTGTTGCAACATTATTTATAATAGCCAAACTATGGAAACAGCTCAAAGGTTAATTGATAGATGAATGGATAAAGAATATAAATATATATAATATTATATATATATTATATATATTATAATATATATCCATAATATGCGATATTATTCAGCCATAGAATGAAATCTTGCCATTTGCAACAACACAGATAGAGCTAGAGAGTATTATGCTAAGCAAAACAAGTCAGTCAGAGAAAGACAAATACCATACCATGTCACTCATATGTAGAATTTAAGAAACAAAGGGGAAAAAAAGAGATAAACCAAGAAACAGACTCTTAACTATAGAGAAAAAACAGATGGTTACCAGAGGGGAGCTGGTTGGGAGAATGAGGGAAATAGGGGATGGGGATTAAAGAGTATACTTATCATGATGAAAAAAAATAAGCAATATATTGTCCTAGCCTAATTTTGTGTAAGTGGATACATAAAACATACTCAGAAGGTCTTGTACTTTTCCATACACTAGACAAGTCAGTTGTCAGAGAAAGTGTATTTACCTTAAAGATCTGTGGGAATTTAATCTAAAACAATCAGAGTTTGATTAATTTTTTATGTAAGAATAGAGGAAGAAGGAAAATAGTCACTTCTCTTTTTCAATACTTTATCATTTGTTTGTTCATGTGTCCCATCTCTAGAATCAAGTCAATCAGCATATTTTATTAAAAGTTAACTTTTATCAGATTTTTGAAGTTGCTGGTATACAGTATCTTATAACATTCTCTTCTAATAATTTATATTTATATATTAATTTGTATTAATATATAAATGATTTCTATATATTTATGTATATCATTGCAGCAGCATTCTATTCCTAATGCTTTTTTTAAGTTTTTTTTTAAGATTTTATTTATTTATTCATGAGAGACACACACACAGAGAGAGAGAGAGAGAGAGAGAGAGAGAGAGAGAGGCAGAAACACAGGCAGGAGAAGTAGGCTCCTTGCAGGGAGCCCAATGTGGGACTCGATCCAGGACTCTAGGATCATACCCCCGGGCTGAAGGCAGGCATTAAACTTCTGAGCCACCCAGGAATTCCGTACTTTTTAAAGGATTTTATTTATTTATTCATTTGAAAATAAGAGAGAGCACACTGAAGTTGCACAGGGCTGCGGGGCAGTGGGGAGCAGAGAGAGATGGACAAGCAGACTCCACTCAGAGCCCAGAGCCCCATATGAGGCTTGATCTCACAATCCTGAGATCATGATCTGAGCCAAAATCAAGAGTCTGATGCTTAACTGACTGAGCCACCCAAGCATCTCTATTCCTAACGTTTTTTGTCTATTTTCTCGATCAGAGTCTCAAAGATCTGTCTCTTGCCTTCTACTCTAATTCTTTCCCTCTTCTTCCTCCCTCTCTCACTTTTTGAAGATGTGCATGAGGAAGTTGGGTTCTTTCCAAAAATTTAATAGTTGGTGTTAGTCATCAGATTGATTGGTGTTTATCCAAGTAATTATTTTATATTGCTCATAAAGAAGTGGTGTGATGGCCTTTTCCTCCCCACTGTCCTGATTAGATCATGAATATCCAGTGTTCAGTTGATACCTAAGAGTCTAAGAAATAATGTAGTTTTTAAAACTTAGCTTCAGAAGTAGACTTGCCTAATTTTGTCTTAAACTTACTTTAAAATATAAAATATTTTAGACATAAAATGTACTATAAAATATTTCAGAATAATATAATACCCATTTATCAACCACAGAGTTCAAGAAATCAACATTGCTCACATTGGTGAATACTCTGATGGTACCTGTGTCAACTGCATTAACTCTTTCATACATTTGTTGTACTCATGCATTTCTAAAACATAGATTGTAATTTTGCATGTTTTTAGATTATACATAATTGGTACCCTTTAGGAACCTTTAGGAACTTACTATTTTCTCATCAGTATATTAGTTCATTCCTTTTCATTCTTTTATAGTTATGTTTTATGATTACATCACATTTTCATTTTTCTTTTAATATTTGAAATTATTTTAACATGTATATAAGCAACTGTGCTAGAATTATTATTTTATAAGTTATGTAATGTGCTTATGCAAGATATTCGTTAAGGTACACATCTTTGAAATCAAAGGCTATAGCATGGACACATATTCAGTTTTATAAAATGAAATCAAATAGGGTTTTCAAAGCAGTTTGAACCAATTTCCACTCCCATTTGCAGCATATGATAGTTGCCTCTGATCCAAACAACTAAAAATACATCTTTCTGAAAGGTTCTAGGTAGTTTCACCATCAACATCTTTGCCATAGATATTTTTGTTGCAAACATTTTGTCTGTGCACATTTCTACCACATAACTAATTGGCTGTAAGGCAATTTTGCTATCAAATATAAAATCACTAAAAATAAAAGAGGGACCTTTAAAAGGATATAATAAAACACTAAAAATTAATAAAATTTATTAGTAATTTCTTTCTTCCTTAAAAGAAGTTTTAGATTTCCACATATTAGGATGTATATTTGTAACCAAGGTTTGTATTGCATTTTGAAAGCCTTCCATACTGTTGCCATATTGTCCCATGTCTGTTATTTTCTAGTACAGTATAGTGTGCAATCTGGCCTAATACTTGCTCATTTCACACATCCAGTAAGTTTCACCACCGTATTTTCTATCAAGTCAATATGCAGAGTTGTTATCACCCACTGTTTTAAGACTACCATGCCTATTCATCACTATATAGATCATTGACTAAGATTTATATAAACTTATACAGATTTATATAGATTTTATGTAGATCATTATAAGGGCCAGCTAAGATTCATAGCATATAAGAGTGGGAATCTGTCAATGGAAAAATGAAATGAAACCAAACTATCAGTTATTTTTTTATGGAAAAATTACCTAATGGCCAATTAGTTATACAGTGAAAAATGTTTGCCGGGAAAATTTTTGCAGCAAAGATGTCTATGGAAGAAATAAGTCAGAAAGACCAATACCATACATTTTCATTCACATGTGGAGTTTAAGAAACAATACAAATGAGCAAAGTGGGGGAAAGAGAGAGAGAGGCAAACCAAGAAATAGACTCAACTATAGAGAGCAAAGTGATGGTTACCAGAGGAGAGGAGCACGAGGGGATGGGTGAAATAGGGGATGAGGATGAAGGGATGCACTTGTGATGAGCATCGGGTGATATATGAAATTGTTCAATTACTATATTGTATACCTGAAACTAATATCACACTGTACGTTAACTAACTGGAATTTAAATAAAACTGAAAAAAATGTCTGTGGCAAAGAGACAGCAAAATACTGGATACATTTCTGAACACCTATACAATAAGACTTGAAAATGTTTGCCAATTTAATGACCATAACAATTTCATTGTGGTTTTAATATGAACTTTTTATTATGAAGGAGACTATCTTTATATATACTTGTCAGTCACGTTTGCTCTTCAAGGTAATACTTGTTTATATATTTTATTTTTCTTATTTTTCTACTGAATTTTCTTTATTGCTGACTTATAGAAAGTTATACAGACTCTATAAAGATTATGTTTATATTATGTTTTCAAATCTTTTCTCCCTGTTTTTGGTTTATCTTGTAGCTTTCTTTATGGCAACATTAGATAAATGGTTCTTAATTTTAGACATCTTATAAAAGATTTGTCTATTTATTTATTTGCGCGCGCGCGAGAGAGCAGGGTAAGGGGCAGAGGGAGAGGGAGAGAGAGAGAAATAGACTTCCCACTGAGCATGGAGCCTGAGGCAGGGCTCAGTCCCGTGGCCCTGAGATCACAACCTGAGCTGAAACCAAGAGTCAGATGCTTAACTGATTGAGTCACCCAGGCACCCCAACAGTTTTAATTTTAATCTAATTAATCAGTCACTTCTTTGTGATTTGCCCTATTTGAGTGTGAAGAACTCCTTTTTTACCTCTAAGGCATAAAGGTATTTGTTATATCTCCTAAATATTTGTAGGTATTATCTTTCAAATTGAATTTTTTAATCTATCTAGAATAGATTTTTATGTATGGTTTCAAGAAAGTATAAAATTATATTTTCTTTTTTATGATAACTATTTTTTCCAGTACAGCCTGTTGGATAATTCCACCCTCCACAATTGATCAGGAATCCCAATTCTTAAAAAAAAAAGTATCCCAATTCTGATGTATATATATGTTTTTGTGATATTTTGCTACATTGTTATATTTGACCTCTGGTGCTTTCTTAACTACAGTAGTTTTTCAATATAGATGACAGTTAAGAGCAACCAAACAATGTGGATTTTTAATATTGAGATGTAATCAACATACCACATTGAGTAAACTGAAGATGTTCCATGTGTTAATTTATATATTGCAATATGATTGCAATTAATCTGATACATTTATATATTGCAATATAAAACCCCTACTACATCACGTAATTATCCTTTCTCTTTTGTAGTGAGGACATTTAAGATATAGTCTCATAATAATTTGAAGCTATCTGAAGGTAGAGTGTTGCTGTGAAATCTTTTGTAAGCTAAAATGGCATTTAAAAAAGCAATTACCACTAATTTATATAGAAAAACTTTAAAGCATTCCCAGATCCATCATCTTTTCTGCTTTTCTGATACCTGATGACACATCTTGCTGATAGATGCATGAAATAAATCAAGATAAGAATAGAGGCCCACAGACCCAATTCAAAGCTATGGCAGATTGATGCTTAAGATACTGAGTGCAGTTTCTGGGGGAGAAGCTTGGCAGTACCACTGTCACTGCTCAGTGTGCACTGCCTCTGTAACAGCTCACTGCAAAATAACTGCTGGATGCTATTTTTGCTTTGTGATTTTTTGCAAAGGTAAAAATCTTTGGATTTCTTTCAATTAGCCAAAACAAGCACTAATGTAGGTCTTTCATGAAAGCAAAATGGCATAATACGAACTTTCAAAAAGCAGGAGGTACCC